AGAAACTCATTAATCTTTTCAAAAAACTAATAGTAATACACATATAATATTTACACTTATTATTTATTTTTGTGCAAAAATTAATCAAGTTTATCTGTTCTATGTTAAATAACCTATATAAAACTTATCTAGAATTGAACCTAGTGGTAAATTTACGTGCTACAGTTGGCGGCGCCTCCAAGGAGTGGGAAAAGTATTAAAATTGGAGTAATGGCAAAGCGGCGGTGTTTGTTTGATTTATAAAATGAAAATGAAAAATGGTTATTGAAATATTTTAGGCATGTTTAACGTTTTTTTTTTTAGTTTACAGTCGACACAAAATTTGCGAGATAATACTATTATTTTGTATCACAATTTTGTGATGTTCTTACTTATTATCAAAAAAAGAAAACTCAATGATTAATAATTGCAACCCAATGGTCGTCAGTTTTCAACGATCTATTTAACATTTTTTTTTTTAATTTTAAGGGCCAAGTCTCAAAATGTTAATGGGTCTATCTTGGTATGAGTCGGTAGTAACAAACCTTCAAAAAACTAGCTGTAAGTGGAATTCTGTCTTAAGGCAATTAAGGCATCGTGCCTTAAGGCAAATTGCTGGAACTTCCCGTGCCAAAAATTATTATTTTTTAAAAACGATTAACATTTTTGAAAAAATTTTACTTCGAAAAATAAGATTTTTTAGAAATTTAAATTGGACAAAAAATTACTTTTTTTGAAAAAAAAAATTTTTTTTTAAAAAAAATTTTTAAACAATTTTTTTTGTAAAAATTTTTTTTTTGGAAAAAATGTTATCTTCATTTTGACATATTTTGGAAGATCTGAACTTTTTTTCAAAGCAATCGTACTGCCTTAACTGCATAGAGACAAAATAAAGCGCGTAAGCGCCGCGTCGCTGTCTAACGGAAAAACATTGGTACGGAACCCATAGGAATGTAAAACAAAACTTATACTTATTGTTAAAATCTCAATAAAATATCTGATAATTTGATATGCATATGTCTAATGTCTAATGATTATTGTTGACCGCCAAATGTTATTTTTTTTAGTTTTTTTTACTAGATCTCCGAAACCGCTAGACCTATCTTCATGAAAATTTGATCAAATCTTCATCCTGTTTATACAAGTAAAATGTTTTTTGAATTATTCCAATCGGACGCTCCGTTCTCTTAAAAACTGAGTTACCGTTTTTGGCCCTTTTTGCCCCATATCTTCGGAATGGCTAGACCTGCCTTTGACAAAAACTAATCAGCACGTCTCCTTATCAATACGAATCGAATGTTTTTTTGAATTATTCAAATTGCTTCATCCGTGTTCCCGAAATCGTCGACGAAAATTTGTATCCGAACACACACACATGGACGCAACACACACACACACACATACATCAATTTTCTCCAAGGTATGCCAACATATTCAGAAACCTCTGAAACGTGAAGATATATAAAAATTTTCATTTTCGATTTTTTTGCGATTACTTACCCTATGGAAAGTTAATTATAAATAAATCAATTTATCATCTCCAGAACATTAACAATCGTCATTTCATTTCGAATCAAATTCCAAAAAAAAATAGTTGCCAAATTTACACAAATTGAAAAAGTGCTCCCGCATAGTCACAGTCTAACGCATTTGCAAATAATTCTTTGCGACATTTTCACTTATACTGTGCTCAGCTTGGCGGCATTTTCACATTTTTCAATAATTTTCACAAAATTGAAAAAGTGCTCCAGTACACAAACAGTCTAAACGCACTTGCGTAAACATTTCTACCAGAGTGGCGCTTAGACTGTGCTTAGCTTGGGTGATTTTTTGAATTTTTAGTCCAAAATTACAAAAAAAAATTTTGAAAAAAAATTAGAAACAAAAAATTTTTTTTTCCAAAATCAATTGTTTTGTTGAAAAAGCAGAAAGTTCTTTGAATCATTTAAATCGGACGCTTAGTTCTCTCAAAAACAGCCATTTTTTTTAAATTTAGCTCGGTATCTCCGAAACCTCTGGGCCTACCTTTGCCAAAAACTAATCAGCACATCTCCCTATCAATAGGAATCGAATGTTTTTTAAACCATTCAAATCGGTTGATCCGTTCTCTCAAAAACTCGCTTTCTATTATTTGCACTCTTTGCTCCATATCTCCGTAACGGCTGGACCTGCCTTTGCCAAAAACTAATCAGCACATCTCCCTATCGATAGGAATCGAATGTTTTTTAAACCATTCAAATCGGTTGATCCGTGCGCCCGAAAACGTGGACGAAAAAAAGCGGACATACAAAACACACACACACACACACACACACACACACACACACACATCCATTTTTTCTGAAGTATGCCAAAATGTTCAGAAACCTTCAAAACGTCGAGAAATGTAAAAATTTTTGATTTCGATTTTTGGACGATTACTATAACTTACCCTACGGGAAGTTAAAAACATGTATTTGCTGTGCTATCAGGCGTTTTACACAAAACCTAACTTCACGTATGTTGGATAGAATTAAATTAACTGTGTCGCCATCTAACGATGTGGTTTTGAAAATCTCCAAAATCTGTTTTGACCCGCTTTTCATTATTTCTTTTTATCATGTGAAATACATTTGATAGTACAATTAATCGCAAAAAATCGAAAATGAAAATTTTTATATATCTTTACGTTTCAAAGGTTTCTGAATATTTTGGCATACCTTAGAAAAATGGATTATGTGTGTGTGTGTGTGCGGATACAAATTTTCGTCGACGATTTCGGGAGCACGGATGAAGCGATTTGAATAATTCAAAACATTCGATTCGTATTGACAGAGAAACGTGCTGATTAGTTTTTGGCAAAGGCAGGTCTATCCATTTTGAAGATACGGAGCAAAAAGAGCCAAAAATGGTAACTTGGTTTTTAACAGAACGAAGCGTCCGATTTGAATAATTCAAAAAACATTTTACTTGTATTAACAAATTGAAGAACTGATCAAATTTTCATGAAGGCAGATCTATCGATTTCGGAGACCTAGTGAAATCTGGCGGTCAAAAATGATCATTAGACATATGCACATCAAATTATAAGATATTTTATAGAGATTTGAACAATAAGTATAAATTTTATTTACATTCCTATGGGTTCCGTACCAATGCTTATCCGCTAGACGGCGGTGCGGCGCTTACGCGCTTCGATATTTCGTCTCTATGCAGTTAAAGCAGTACGATTGCTTTGAAAATAAGTTCAGAATTTCCAAAATATTTCAAAATACACTTTTCTTCAAAAAGTATTTTTTTCAAAAAAAATTAAATTTTTAGTCAAAAATTTATAGTTTCTCAAAAACTTAATTTTTCATAGTAAATTTTTTTCAAAAATGTTAATCTTTTAAAAACAAAATAATTTTTGGTACGGAAAGTTCCATCAATTTGCCTTAAGGCACGATGCCATGCGCCCCACTAGTTTGAGTTTATTATATCAGAAAGTTAAAAACATGATAAAATTGATATTTGACGTTTGTGCCTTTTAGAGGTTAGGTTTTATGTGTGAAACGCCTGATCGCACAGGAAATACATATCTTTTCATACGAATATAGACCCGTAACTTAATAGCATTACCATGCCGTTGAGAATAATAAAAATAAATTAAAAATAAGTACGTACGTTAATTAAGTACAAATATTATATAACACATATTAAGTATATTAGCCGCAGATCAATATATACGTATATATATATATATATATATATATATATATATACATATATATATATACGAGGTGTGTTCAAAAAGTACCCGGAATTACTAATAATTAAATTTCGCGGGTCTGGAGTGTCTGATTGTCAAAATTTTTTTTTTATTGCGTTGGTATACATGCCCCTAAAGTATGATGAAATTTTCAGCTATATTCACGGTTTACTTTGTCTGTGGTAGTCGCTAAGGTTCGACGTGTTTTTCTGAGCTCGGCGATTTTTACAATGGAAGAATTGAAAAGTCAAAGAATTTGTATTAAATTTTGCGTAAAAAATGAAATAAAGTGTTGCAAAGTGCAAAAATTCACCAGATATGGCTCCGTGTGACTTTTTCCTATTCCCAAAGTTGAAGAGACCCATGAAAGGACGGCGGTTTTCCTCGATTGAAGAAAATCGCCGAGAGTGCTCAAGGACATATCAAAAAGTGAATATCAAGGGTGCTTCGAAAATTGGAAAAAACGCGGGCATAAGTGTATTATATCTGGGGGGGACTACTTTGAAGGGGACCACATTAATGTAGACGAATAAATAAATATTTTTTTGAAAAAACGAAAATTACGAAAACTTTTTGAACAGACCTCGTATATATATATATATATAATATAAATAATACTAAATTCTAATTATCTCTAATGGAATGATTTCGTATGGACTAAAATAACATTGCAATACTTGTGATGTCGCTTTGACTAAAATAATACTATTAATAATAATAATAATACTAAACTTATAGCTTATAGCTTCAAAAAATATATTCTTAACTCAAAAACTAAATATTATACTATATGCGTTAAGTAGTTTATTTACACTAACCAGAAAGTTCATGAAACTTTTATCTCAAATATTGCAAATCAAATATCAAATGAACGGTAATTTCGACGACGAATATACTCGTCAATACATAAAATTCTACCACCTCTCTATGACAAACATAGTCGTCAATCATTGATAAAAAGACTTTTAGTGTTACATAGTTGTTATGGAAACCTTCTTTCCTAGTACTAAACACTATGAAAATTGCTATCGTATTTGCTGTATGATCAGGCGTATTTACATATAAACGAACCTAGAAAGAATGTTATCATAACTGTATCTTTGTGATAAAACGCCTGATTGCACATTAAATAGATAGCATTTTTACACAGTTTTTAGTACCAAGAAAGAAAGATAAGATAGATGTCTAGAAGTATATATATATATATATATATATATATATATATATATATGCATATATATATATATATGCATATATATATATATATATATATATGCATATATATTAATTAATACCGTCAACGTTTAAATACTCAAAATCCGTGCGTTTCCTTCTTATCGGGGCTCGGCGTCAAATTTAATCCCTTATTATCGTATCCAGTCCGGGCCTGGTAAACAGAGTCCTCTGCAGGATGACGCCGGTTATTAGAACCTGATTAAGAAAATAATTTTAATAATAATAATAACAATATAGCCACAATAATAATAATAATATAGCCTTGTCATTATAGTAAGCTCACCGCGGAATTTGAGATACTCATTTGTAAATACATCATAAAAGTTGTCTCAAAACCTACATATGGCAGGGTGCTATTTTAGAGTATGTACAGACTTACAGCTGGGTATTTCAAATTCCGAAATTTTTACCTAATTAAACTAAATAATAAAAACTAGTTACAAGTACACTGCATATTATTTTTTCGAATATATATATATATATATATATATATATATTTGTTGAAATAAAAAAGTGTCCCAACCTGGTGCTATGCTGGGTGTTGCCAGATGTGATGTTTCTGTTCCAGGAGTGCTCCAACCTGATGCTATTGTACTCGGAGCAGGAGGTGGTGAATCATTCTTCAAAAAAAAAAAAATTTAATGCATTTATATTTATTAGTGTGGTCCTTAATATGGACATTTTCGAATTTCATTTGCTCCCAAGGGCTCAAACGCTTCCAAAGTAATAAAAGAAAATTCTATAAAAGTTTCAGCTCTTAATGTTAACATTTAGATAGTCCGCAATTCAATTAAAAGTTTCGTATTTTCATTATTAACATATATTATTAAGTAAATTCTTGCGCCATCTGTGATAGCAGACTTGTAACATTGTTGACAATTTATTACTGACAATTTGAGTGTCAACATCACCAATTAAATAAATATTTTGCTGAAAAATTATTTTTGATGACATGATGAATAGATATTTCGTTAAACAGCCCCACATGGATTTAATTAAAGGTTAAGTGAATTATAAATATTTTTAAGTGTCATTATATTTGAGTTCAGAAATGCTATCACAGATGGCGCAAGAATTTACCTAATAATGAATATACGAAACTTTTAATTGAATTGCGAACAATCTAAATGTTAATATTAAGAGCTAAAACTTTTAGGGATTTTTTTTTAAGCCACTGGGAGCAAGGAAATTCGAAAGGGTCCATATTAATGACCACCCAATATATGTATATATTATGTCACAATGTGTGTCCTGTATACTTTCCTAAACTACTGAACTGATTTTGAATTTGCAAATATGTTGATACATATAGTACTTGTGTAAATGCATCATTATTTTTCGAAATCAATAAGAAAACAAGAGTTTATACAGAAAGTTTATACAAAAAGCTTTATTGTAACCAAATTCATGTTGACACTATGGAGGTTTTGAATTGACATGTTTGTAAATATAGTAATGATAGTTCTTACTTTCCTGAACTTCGAGGAGGAAACTCCTAAATTAAAATAAAAAGATCCTGGCCTAAGGTAAAAAATTCTTGTACTAATTGTATATGTATTATATTAACGTCTTATTTTATTTCACTTGGTCGAAGGGGAGATATTAATCTGTGTGATAATACGATTGCGAATGAAAAGTTTAGCATCTAACACATTTAATGAGATTGCTCTTTGATTTGATTTTGTTTTTCTTGATATTTACCATTGTTATTAATCTGCCCTAATGTTGCAATTAACTGTTATAATTATAATGTGGATGTCAAAGTGGCAAATATTATTTCAATAAATCCTACAAAACTTAACAAATGACATGATCAATCAAAATTAAAATTGACAATTTTTGCAAACTTTGACGAATTTTTAAAATTAAACGACTTGTCGCAGGGCCGTGATATTTTAGTATGATCTATAAAGACTATGGTATTACCGTCAAAACAAAATTTATAAAAATCGTCGAAAAAATTTTTATCAACACCTTATTACAAGAAAACGGCCCGGCCGATCTCTACCAGAAACTAATCAGCACGATTCCCAAACAATATCTTTCGAACGATTTTTTGAATTTTCAAAATCGATTCAGAATTGCGGGCTAAAACGTGGACAAATAATTTTGCACTTTTCTGCAATTTATAAAGAGGCGGCTTGGCTGATCGTCGCGCAAAACTGACAAACAATAGTCCTCATCTAGATACATCGAGTGGCTTTTAAATTTTTGAAATCGGTCCAGTCTTTTTGGAGAAAACGTTGATTTACGGCCAAAAATCTGTTCACACACACATACATACTTTTTCTAAATGTTGGTCTCATTCGATTCAGAATGGCTTGAAACGTCGAGAAAATATAAAATTAGCGAGTCGGATTTTTTGATGAAAACATAAACTTCTCCTTCGGGAAGTTAAAAAAAAGATAAATCTATCTATTTGTCTGCCTGGAATATCTTCTATCGATTTTTCTGCCTGGAATCTAACTGGTGGCATTTGTATAATAAATCCCACAAATTTGATGATAAAACCCACTTTTAATAAACCCCTCAAAAGTCTTCCCTTTAAAAAAATACAACACTGATCATAATATTAAAATCCAAAAATCTAACTTGATCATCCAAAATTTCACAAAAAAGATAAATCTTCTATCTATTTGTCTACCTGATATCCGGCTGGTGGCATCTGCAATTTCAGTCCAGAAGCAGACAATGTACTCAACTGTGTCGTCAATTGGTCACCAGCCGAAGATTGAGATGGCGCCACTTTTTGTGTCACTGCGGGTGTGTCATTCTGGACGTGCGGATTTCGCATCACAGTCGGAGATTCTGGGTAATGGGATTTCTAAAACACAAAAATAAAAAAATAAAAAGTACCATTACCATTTAACTACTGGTTCAGATTTTCCAGAATACTGGCTAGGGTTTGTCGGTTTTCAAAAACCGGTTTTAAAAACCGGTTTTTTGACGAAAATTATAGTATTCGAAAACCGGTTTTTAGTGCTAAAAGTCGGTTTTCACTGTATAAATGGAAAATGACAAATATAGCCAAATATAAAAGATAGATGAAAGCGTTCTGATTCTTGAAATCATATCGGTTCAATAGCATTTGATATCTTATCAGTCTGCAATGGTTCCCAGAAAGGTTTTGTTTATATATATTTATTTATTTATTTATTCATAAGCAAGCCGTAATCAATAATAATAATTAATATTAAAATAATAGTAATTTTATAATAATCATAGTAGATGCACAAATTTCGTTTCTGAAAAAAAGCATTCGAACATTAAATACAATGTTCATCATCAAGTTCATCATATTAAAGTCTATTTGACCACCAATAAAGCTCAAAATTCTTGCACAAGGTTGAGAGTTATACTCATTTAAAACCGTAAAAAAATTTAAATTAATAAAATAACAATAAAAAAACATGGTTGTACAAGTGATCAAAGGGTCAGACTACATAGATAAAGGATAAGGATTATGCAAGAAAATAGTTATTGAAATCAAATTGACAAAATTCAGTAATGTCATAAAAAGCTAATTCTTTAAAAAGTTTGACTAGGGAAGCATGAAATTGTTTGGTGTCTAAGTTTCGGATATTGAGTTTTAATTATGATATTAATTTAGGTTTTTATACCAGTGTATATATTAATTTAAATCAGTGTGACTACTTCTCGAAGAAGTAACTTCCTCTACTCAAACTTAAAAAAATAGTTTTAAACTCTAGAAGCCACAACCTAAAGAACAAAAAACTTAGAATTATTATATCAGGCTTTAAAAACAATTAAGCATAATTTGGTCGCAAGTATGAGAGTATTTTCTATTTCAGTAGCAATTTGATGGACAAAAAACTTAGAACTATTATATCAGGCTTTAAAAACAATTAAGCATAATTTGGTCGCAAGTATGAGAGTATTTTCTATTTCAGTTGCAATTCTATAGACGTTCTCAGTTTTTTTAAATCATATTTTATTAAACAAAAAATAATTAGAATGTTTAAAATTAATTAATTAAAATTGCTCGGAACAGACAATGCCCGAGATTAGCTTAATCGTTTTTAAAACTAATATTGATATTAACAAGTATGTATCAACATGTATCTATTTTTTTTATTTTATTTAAAAATGTATTATTTTTATTTATTCGAAAACTTTCCTTTCACTATCATAAAAATATTTTCATTCTTATATGTGATAATGATGCATGAATAACGAATAATTATTTTCAAAGTTATTTAATCAAGATAAACTATTACTTTTTAGTTCGACTAATTAAAATTAAAATAATTTTGTATACTATCTATAAAATTGAACAATAAATGAATTCAGTCAAATACTGCTCTAAATTACACTAAATTTGCGGATAAATTACAGAATATTCGAGCAAAAATTTATTTTCTATATAAAATTCGAAAACCGGTTAAAAATGTCGGTTTTTGTATAAACCCTAATTGATACTGACCTTTTTCAAGTTCAGTCTATCTCTGAACCATTGTTTGCTCAACAGTCCTCGATCTCGCATGCACCTGAAGAATTTTGCTAAACAAACTGCAACAATTACCAAAGCCAAGAGGGTGCAGACTATTAAAGTGGCTGTGAGTTGTCCTTTTAGTCTCGAAACTTCCTCTAAATAATTAAGAAATAACATCACATGAAAATAGGAAAATAAAAATCCAGTAATGACAAATGCCAACTATTAGATGAATGATGAAGACAAATGAAAAGATAGATAGACATGGTCCATAGTTTGTAGACAAGTGCTAGATTTTTAACTTCTCTTCTGTACATTTATTACATCTTTTTTTATTTTCCATAAAATATTTTTGTAATTTTGGATTGAAAGTTCAAAAAATTATCCAGACTAAGCATAGTCTAAACGCCACTCAGGTGCAAATGTTTACCCAAGTGCGTTTGGACTGTTTACGTACTGGAGCACTTTTCCAATTTTATGAAAACTACTGAAAAATGTGAAAATGCTGCCAAGGTAAGCACAGTTTAAGTAAAAATGTCGCACAGAATTATTTGAAAATGCGTTTAGACTGTGACTATACGGGAGCACTTTTTCAATTTTGTGTAAATTAGGCAACTATTTTTTTTGAAATTGAATTCGAAATGAAATGACGATTGTTCCGGAATGTTTTGGAGATAAATTGATTTATGATTTATATTTGATTTGCTCAGATATAACAAACAAGATAGCAAGAATAATGAAAGTTACAGTGTTTGTAATGATATATTTGAAAACGTTCAAAATTTCTCGAATATTTCATTACGGTACGGGAAGTTCCAGCAATTTGCCATAAGGTACGATGACATACACCACTAGTTATTTTAATTAAAACTTTTGGTATTAATGAACCGATTCCACCCCATAACAGACAAATGTTATGGCAAGGCCATGTTACGCTTCAACTTCCATACATTATGCTACTGAATCATACTGAATACTGTCAAAATAGCATGTATTTGCTGTAAATTCAGACGTCTTACACATAAACTGCAACGGCACTGGTTATGAAGCTCAGTCAGAAAGACACTGTTGTCTGAGATAGTTTTTTAGACATTTGTGCAGTTTCTACGTAAGGTTTTCTATCGGACAACATGAGAAATATGCCTGAATGCAGAGCATTATGTTATATATATATATATATATATATATATATATATATATAATAAAATTTTCCTTACCTCTAATATCACCATCATTTCCATTACTCGAAGATCTTGTCAAATAGCGTTGGTCCATAAGATATGCTGAAACAACAAAATAATATTAATAATATTAAAAATAATATAAAAATGACTTATTTATAGCAGTGTTTCCCAATCTTTTACAGACAATATTAAAAACATCAATACATAAAGTACAATCACTAAACTTAATTTCACTACTTAATGTTATTATAACTTCGTTAAGAAAAAAAATTTAAAAGAAAAATAAAGAAATATTATAAGGAAATTGAAGACAAAGAAGACTGAAGAGTTATATAAAGATAGAGATATTTTAATTATAATAGATATTATATTAATGAAATAGACAAATGAAATGTATATATACAATAGGAAAACTGTTTTTCATAATCTCTCATACCAGGCACCTCTGCCTGACTGAGATATGAAAATAATGTATATATATATATATATATATATATATACATTATATATATATATATATATAAACAAATAAATTCCTAAAAAAAAAAGAAAATTTCATATTGAACAAAAAATATATATTTAAATGAATAGATGACACAAGTATAAAAACTGGTATGAATGATAGTATTGGGATTTATATAAGTTTACTAATTTGGTGTTAATAAATGAAAAAAAGATAACAGCTAAAATCGTTTTTTATTTTAAATATTCTAACAATTTATCTAATAGTACTGTTTGTTTTCTTTGATTTTTTGAAGGACTAATGACTTATTATAAAACACTTTAATTATAATATTAATTACGTGTTTATTTCTAATATAACTACAAATTGTATTTGTATTTACAATATATTCAAAATTCTCATGTACTGTATTAGTTGATTTAATTTGTGACGATTTTTTAATAGATATCTTTCGTTTTTATATCATAACATAGGGTGAATATAGAATATTAGTTCGTATCTGGAAAATTTCAGAAACAATATGATAACGCTATTTTTTTTTACAAAATATGTAAATATATTTAAAATGTAAATATATTTGAAAATACAAAATTGTTTGCTTCTTGACTGATTATTTGTTTTGTGATTCATGCACTTGAAACATGTGTTCTTCAAAAAATAGAACAATTATAAGAGACTTGTGTAAATATAAAATATGATTTCTGAAAGGCTTTTAAGACAAATATTTATTAAGTGTTTTTTTGGGAAAAAATATTAAATTTGTATATCGGATTTTTAATATAAAATACCAGATTTATGAAAAAACTATATACGTTTATTTTGTTAATTTTCTGTTTATTATTTACATTTATATTTTTGTATTTAGGTTTAATTTTTTTTTTTTATAAACCTCAACAATTTTGCATTATACAACTTTAATAAAGTTAAAAAAAAACTATATACGTGTTCTGTTTGATGAAATCATTATTCATTAAAAAAAAATTAACCAAAACGCACAACGTCAAATAACAATAAGTGCATCTTTCTGATATCTCATTGATAACACATACGCGAAGTTAGGTTTTCAAATATATAGCTCGAGCAAAAGTTTCCTTTACAAAAATTCAAACCTGGTTAAAATTAGTTTCCGTTCATAAAATCGCAAAAAAACGAGGATAAAAATATTTGCTTCAATGATTCCTGAATATTTTGGCATGAAAAAATGGATTTATGTGTATGTATGTATGTATGCATATAATTTTTCGTCCACGATTTCGGGTGTACGGATCAACCGATTTGAATGATTCCAAAAACATTAGATTCCTATTGATGAGGAGACGTGCTGATTAGTTTTTGGCAAAGGCAGGTCCAGCCGTTACGGAGATACGGAGCAAAGAGTGCAGAAAATACAAATCGAGTTTTTGAGAGAACGGAGTATCGGATTTGAATGATCTAACTAGCTGTAAGTGGAATTTCGTCTTAAGGCAATTAAGGCACCGTGCCTTAAGGCAAATTGCTGGAACTTCCCGTACCAAAAATTATTATTTTTTTAAAAAAGATTAACATTTTTGAAAAAAAAAATTACTTTGAAAAAATAAGATTTTTCAGAAACTATAAATTGGACAAAAAATTACTTTTTTTTGAAAAAAAATTTTTTTAAAAAAAATTTTTTTTTTTAATTTTTTTTTTTTTTGAAAAAATTTTTTTTTTATTTTGACATATTGTGGAAGATCTGAACTTTCTTTTCAAAGCAATCAATCGTACTGCTTTAACTGCATAGGGACAAAATATAAAGCGCGTAAGCGCCGCGTCGCTGTCTAAAGCATAAGCATTGGTACGGAACCCATAGGAATGTTAACAAATTGTATACTTATTGTTAAAATCTCTATAAAATATCTGATAATTTTATGAGCATATGTCTAATGATCATTTTTGACCGCCAAATGGCTCATTTTTTTACTTTTTCCTCCATATCTCCGAATCCGCTAGACCTACCTTCATGAAAATTTTATCGATTCTTCATCTTGTCAATACAAGTGAAATGTTTTTTGAATTATTCAAATCGGACGCTCCGTTCTCTTAAAAACTGAGTTACCGTTTTTGGCACTTTTTGCCCCGTATCTCCGGAACGGCTAGACCTGCCTTCGCCAAAAACTAATCAGCACGTCTCCTTATCAATACGAATCGAATGTTTTTTGAATTATTCAAATCGGTTGACCCGTGTTCCCGAAATCGTCGACGAAAATTTGTATCCGCACATACATACACACACATACATACATACACACACATACACACACACACACACACCACACACATACATCCATTTTTTCTAAGGTATGCCAAAATGTTCAGAAACCTCTGAAACGTAAAGATATATAAAAATTTTCATTTTCGATTTTTTAGCGATTACTATAACTTGCCCTACGGGAAGTTAAAAAACATTCAATTTGCAATGATTGGGAATAGAGGTGATTAGTTTTTGGCAAAGACAGGTCCGACCACTTCGAAGATACAGAGCTAAATGTGCAAAAAATGGCAGTTTTTGAGTGAACCAAGCGTCCGATTTGAATGATCTAAAAAACTTTCTGCTTGTATTGACAAAACAATTGCTTTTGAGGATAAAAAATTATTACATTTTTTTTTATTTTCCATAAAATATTTTTGTAATTTTGAATTAAAAATTCAAAAAAATCACCCAGGCTAAGCACAGTCTAAACGCCACTCTGGTACAAATGTTTACCCGAGTGCGTTTAGACTGTTTATGTAATGGAGCACTTTTCCAATTTTGTGAAAATTATTGAAAAATGTGAAAATGCCGCCAGCTTAGCACAGTATAAGTGAAAATGTCGCACAGAATTATTTGCAAATGCGTTTAGACTGTGACTATACGAGAGCACTTTTTCAATTTTGTGTAAATTAGGCAACTATTTTTTTTTAATTGAATTCGAAATGAAATGACGATTGTTAATGTTCTGGAGATAAATTGATTTATGATTTATGATTTGCTCAGATATAACAAAAGATAGTAAAAATAATGAAACAATTACAGTATTTGTAATAATATATTTGAAAAGGTTTAATATTCCTCGAATATTTCATTACGATACGGGAATTTCCAGCAATTTGCCTTAAGGCACGATGACATACACCACTAGTTTCCTAAAATGTTGGTTTTTGTATAAACCTTATGGTGCATCAATGACACATAGCTTCAATGATACAAATGTATGTTAATGTTAATGTTAATGTTAAATATTTATATTCGTATTATGTTAATTCTGTGGTAAAGGTATGCGATACAAATGGTATAAGTGGTATGAGTCACGATAAAATTAACCGCAAGACAACTGGATATATAATATCAATGAACGCGTATAAATAAACAGTTAGGTAAACCTGAATGTGAATGTGCAATGTGAGTGTATGAGGCAGTTCCGTTCGAGGGGCGATAGAGAAAAAAAGTGGTAACCCAGAGGCGAATTTGTAAAGTAAATTGAAATTTTTGGCAGATGACAGTTTCCAAACAATGTCTCCAATATTTTCAATGTCAAACTAGTAGTGTATGGCATCGTGCCTTAAGGCAAATTGCTGGAACTTCCCGTACCGTAATGAAATATTCGAGAAGTTTTAAACGTTTTCAAATATATTATTACAAATACTGTAACTTTCGTTATTTTTCATATCTCGTTATATCTGAGCAAATCAAATGTGAATCATAGATCAATTTATCTCCAGAACATTAACAGTCGTCATTTCATTTCGAATTCAATTTCAAAAAAAATAGTTGCCTAATTTACACAAAATTAAAAAAGTGCTCCCGTATAGTCACAGTCCAAACGCATTTACAAATAATTCTGTGCGACATCTTCACTTATACTGTGTTAGCTTGGCGGCATTTTCACATTTTTCAATAGTTTTCACAAAATTGGAAAAGTGCTTCAGTACGTAAACAGTCTAAACGCACTTGCGAAAACATTTGTACCAGAGTGGCGCTTAGACTGTGCTTAGTCTGGGTAATTTTTTGAATTTTTAATCCAAAATTACAAAAAATATTTTTCGAAAAAAAAAAAATTAAAAACAAACTTTTTTTTTTGCAAAAGCAATTATTTTGTTGAAACAAACAGAAAGTTCTTTGAATCATTTAAATCGGACGCTTAGTTCTGTCAAAAACTGCCATTTTTTTAACATTTAGCTCTGTATATCCGAAACCGCTGGGCATACTTTTGCCAAAAACTAATAACCACTTTTCCCTGTCATTACGAACTGAATGTTTTTTCGATCATACAAATCGGATGATCTCTCAAAAACTCGATTTGTATTTTCTGTACTGTTTGCTCCATATCTCCGTAACGGCAGAACTTGCCTTTGCCTAAAACTAATCAGCGCATCTCCCTATCAATAGGAATCGATGTTTTTTAAACCATTCAAATCGGTTGATCCGTGCGCCCGAAAACGTGGACGAAAAAATGCGGACATACAAAACACACACACACACACTCACATCCATTAGTTTTCTGAGGTATGCCAGTAAAATGTTCAGAAACCTTCAAAACGTCGAGAAATGCAAAAATTTTCATTTTCGATTTTCGGCCCATTTTTTTTTAACTACCCTACGGAAAGTTAAAAAAAAAAATATATTAAAAATTTCATATCCGAATCTTGTGTTAGCGCCCCTGACAGGCCCTGATTATTACTTAATTTCATATTTTAAGTGAATTAACTTATGAAATCCTGTTCATATGTGTATTATTCAATCTGCCATACATATACTGTATCTTATATTATTTTAATTTCTGGCACATTTCAGCTGCTTTCGGCAATAATAATGTAGACATTTCATTTTTTTTATTCATGATAATGAATTTATTATACATATTCTGATAATGTCTAGGCTCAGAAGTGAGTTTGAAATGTTTGGCAGATGACAGTTTAAATATTTTCAATGTGAAACAATGACATGTCCTTTTTTTGCAATTTTTCCACTTATTTCTGCAATCTAACTTTATTTTTATAATCACATGAATCCGAAAAAAATTCCTTAACAAACTTCAGAAAGATTTATCAAAATCCGAATAACCGTTAAGGAAAACTATCTTTTCCCACATCATTACAGAAGAATTTTATATATAAGATAAAATAATATAATTTTTTCTTACCCTGACAATCCCTCTCGCACCTCTGCTCCTCGTGATTGTGCGAATCCAACTCGCAAATTTTGCTGCAGGGTTCGCAGAGGGCGCTGTACTGGCTGCACGACTCCAACAAGGAGCAGCGCTTGCTGCCGCATTGAGCGCCGCGTAGCGTCAGAGCGGCGAATGACCGCAATTGCAGCAGCAGGAAGAGAAAGACAGGAGGAAATAGTAATCTGAAAAGGTTGAAGTAGATTAAAATTTTTTTATAAATTTGTATAAATATATATCAGAGTTAAAGATTTTTGCATACCTTACAATTAGAAAAAATTGGTATGTATGTATGCGCGGATCAATGAGTAATTCAAAAAACATTCGGGGGAGACGTGCTTATTAGTTTTCAGAAAATGTAGGTCCAGCCGTTTCGTAGATACGGAGCAGGTCCAGCCGCTTCGGGAATAATGTCAAAAATCAGCTCATATATATATATACTTTTCCCAAAATAACTGTTTTATAGCAAATTAAATAAAATATTTTAAAAATGGAACTCTACCGACGAGCAAACTTAAATAAAATAAGAAAAAGGGACTCTATTGATGAACCAAAAAAGAATAAGTAAAAGGGACTTTAATCGCAATCAAATTAAAAATCGATATAGGAAATATAAAAGGGACTCTACTGATGAGCAAATTTAAAATGCAAACTAGAATGTAGAAAAAGGACTCTACTGACAAGCAAACTTGAAGAATAAGTCAAAATTAAAAAATAGAAAAAGACAAAAAAAGACTACTGACGACCAAATTTAAATTGTAAACTAAAATTTGGAAAAAGAACTCTTTGACGAGCAAATTTTAAATGCAAACTACAATATAAAAAAGGATTCTACTGACGAGCAAATTTAAAATGCAAACTACAATATAAAAAAAGGATTCTACTGACGAGCAAATTTAAATTGTAAATTAAGATATAGAAAAAGGACTCTTCTGACGAAAAAATTTAAATTTTTAAATTTTACTTTTAAGTTTAAATGCAAACTAGATTTTAAAAAAGGGACTCTACTGACGAGCAAACTTTATTTTGACCCACAAGGTAAAAAAAAATAGAATCTAATCACGAGCCAAGATAAGACTCTACTGATGAACAAACTTAATTTTGGCCTATATGACCAAAAAGGGACTCTACTGACAAGCGAACTTGATTTAGACCAAAAAAGTACTCTACTGACGAGCAAATTTGTAAATTAGAAAATAAATCAAGGACTCTACTGACGAGCAAGCTAAGATAAGGGTCTCTACAGACAATAAATTTAAATTTCGAGTAACAAAGAGAACTCAACTGACAAGCAAACTTGATTTAGACCAAAAAGGACTCTACTGACAAGCAAATTTGTAGATTAAAAAATAAAAGGAGGACTCTACTGACAACCAAGCTAAAAAAAAACTCTACAAACAATCAATCTAGATTTCGAGTGACAATAGAGACTCTACTGACGAGCAAACTTAATTTTGGCCAACCAGACCAAAAAGGACTCTACTGACGAGCAAATTTGTAAATCAGAAATTAAAAGAAGACCTCTGACAAGCAAGCCAAGAAAAAGGGCATCTAAATTTCTAGTAACAAAAGGGACTCTACTGACAAGTAAACTTAATTTCGATCTACAAGACCAAAAAAGGACTCTACTGACGAGCAAATGTTTAAATTAGAAAATAAAACAAGGACTCTACTGACGAGCAAGCTAAGAAAAGGGACTCTACAAACAATCAATCTAAATTTCGAGTAACAAACGGACTCTGCTGACAAGAAAACTTGAATTAGACTAAAAAAGGACTTTACTGTTAAGCAAATTTTGTAAATTGTAAAATAAAAAGAGGACTCTATTCACGAGCAAGCTAATAAAAGGGTCTCTACAGACAATAATTTAAATTTCGAGTAACAAAGAGACTTTACTGACAACCAAACTTAATTTTGACCAAAAAAGAACTCTACTGACGACTAAATTTGTAAATTAGAAAAAAGGGACTTTAATGACGACCAAGCTAAGAAAAAAAACTCTACAAACAATCAATCTAAATTTCGAGTAACAAAAGGAACTCTACTGACACGCAAACTTGAATAAATCAAAATTAATAAAAAAGAAAAAAGGGACTCTACTGACGAGCAAATTTAAATTGTAAACTTAGATATAGAAAAGGGACTCTACTGACAAGCAAACTTGAAAAATAAGTCAAAACTAATAAAATAAAGAAAAAGGAACTCCACTGACGAGCAAATTTGAATTTTACACTGAAATATAGAAAAAGACGAGCAAACTTGGGAAAAACTTGAATTTTTTTTCAAAAATTTACAATTAAAAATCGCCAATATATTTCATAATATTTATATTCATAACATATTTAACGTGAAATAAAATCGCGCAGTATTTTTTCTTATCTCTGACGCATGTTTTGAAAACATGGTAATTAATATGAAAATGCACAAACACAAATGCAAATTTCTTCGAAATAATAACAAATTTTTGTATTTGTGTTTTCGTGACTAAATGCTGTAATTAATACTTAAACAAAAAAATATAGTTATGCAAGAGTCTCTACAATAATGAACAAACGCTGTGGCCAAATTCGTTTTACAAAAGTGCATTCATTGGTTACATCGTTTATATCTTTTAAAATATTTGCTTTATGCGAAATGTGTAAAAGACAAATTTGTTGAAAATTAAATAATCTACAATATTTTGTAATATCGCAAGACCCTACAGCAACTCGGTATACTCGTAAATGACAAAAGAAGTTCAACTATATTTTCATTTGGAGGATATCCATTCTCCATTTACAAAACAGTCCACATCGTCTTCGACCATAATTACAGTATCCATTACCTCTATATATGTATATGTATATATATATATATATATATATATATATATATATATATATATATATGTATGTATGTATGTATATATGTATGTATGTATGTCTTTTATGTTTAGCAATTGTGTTAACACAATTGAATTTGTTTAAAGACTTTCGAATCGTCGAAGCCATTTTGCATTCTTACACGAACCCAAACACAAACTCGTATTATAAAATATAAAATATCAAATATAATTTATAAATACATAGCCATCAGGTTAAATATTTAGTAAAAATACAAAAAATCACTTTCTTTTTCTATATTATGAATTTCTTTTGATAGTCCAAATTTACTTTCTAAAAATCCGCGAACGATTACAAAATTTGACTCGAAACTTGTTTGAATCGAAATCGAAACCAAATTCGATAATAATAAACAAATCTAGTAGAAAATATAATAATTATGTATTGTTATCGAATTTATATTTATAAACAAATACTTTATTGACTTTCCGAAAAAGGAGTTTGTTTTCACTAAAAAAAACTCGATTTTCTCGACGTTTCATATCATTCTGAATCGAATGAGTCCATTTTTAAGTGAAAAAAATCGTATGTTTGTGTATGTGTGTATGTGTGTGTGTGTGTGTGTGTGTGTGTGTGTATTATGTAATGTATTGTCTAACAATAACGATTGTTCGTAGGAAAACATCTATTCCATCATACCATTGATTAAAATCCAATTTGCAATAACAATTTGTCAAATACAATTGCATAAAAATAATTGCAATTGGATAAAAATAATTGGATAAAAACAAGCTAATAAATGTAACACACTTTTTATCCATCATTTTTTTTTTTGAATTTAGAACTTCAAAGTTAGTTTTTGCAATCGTCCAAAAATCGAAGTTGAAACTTTTAGAGGTTTCACGTTTCAGAGGTTTCTGAACATTTTGGCATACCTTAGAAAAAATGGATGTGTCCGTGTGTATGTATAGATACAATATTTCGTCCACCGATTTCAATGATTCAAAATGCAATCGATTACTATTAATAAGGAAATGTTCTGATTAGTTTTTGGCAAAGGCAGGTCCAGCAGTTACGGAAATAAAGAGCAAAGAGTGCAGAAAATATAAATCGAGTTTTTGAGAGAACGGAGCGTCCGATTTGGATGATTCAGAAAACATTCAACCTATAATGATTGAGAGAAGTGGTAATTAGTTTTTGGCAAATGCAGGTCCAGCCGTTTCGGAGATACGCAGCTAAATGTGCAAATAATGGCAGTTTTGCAGAGAACTAAGCATCCGATTTGAATGATTTAAAAAACTTTCTGCTTGTGTTGACAAAATAATTATTTTTGGAGATTTTTTTTTAAATTTCAGGAACATTTTTTTACTAAATTTTATTCTTCGCATATTTCATTATGATACAGGAAGTTCCAGCAATTTACCTTAAGACACGATGCCATACACCACTAGTTTGCTTTTTTAATTATTTATTTTAGTCGGATTTTGCACATAGATTTTATTGATTACATTTATTAAATAATTTATTCACCATCTACAGATAGGTATTGAGTTTTGCAATTACGATTTTTACATTTTGTTAAATATTTGAAAAAACTAAAAAACATTTACTAAAACCTATTTATTTTATTTGAAAAACTCTACTCAAAAAATTTAACCATCGCAAAAAAATATTTTTAACAATTTATCAATCGAAACTAACTTGATTGCATTTTTTACATTTATTTTTTAACATAAAATACAAAATATTAAATCTTAATGACTTACTGGCAAATAAACTTATAATTATAACTTTTCTAATCAATTAAATTATATATATATATATGTATATATATATATATATATAAATATAAAAATTTGAAAACCTGCGTTATTTTTTTATAAAATATTAATAGTAGTAACAGATCCTGAAGAAGGGTACACAATTTTTTTTAAAAACGTAGGTTTTCAAATTCAGGAAAATTAATTTACATCTATTTTTTATATTTCTAGAAAATTTATATATTAGGGTGGTCCTTAATATGGACCTTTTCAAATTTCTTTGCTCCCAAGGGCTCAAATGCTTCCAAATTAATTAAAAAAAAAAAAAATAATTAATTAAATGTACATATTGAGGACCACCTTAATAAATAAATAAATATATATATATATATATATATATATATATAATGTATATATTTATATATATATATATATGTATATATTTATATAATATTTATATTTATATTGTTAAATTAAATCACTGGGTTTTGTCACATATTTAAAATACATATTTAGTTTTAACATAAAATATTAATGCTGATTTTTTTTTAAAATTCTATGTAATTTATATTATTTTATAAATAAATAATAACACTTAAAAACTACGAGGATTTGTTTAAAAATAATTATTACAAGGCAATAGTTACAAAACAATAAAAAACGTAACATTATCGTTAAAGTTACTTTCTTTTAACGTTAAAGTTACATTTGTAACACGTGTGACGTTTATGTTACGTAATTTTAACGTTCAAAGTAAACATTGATTTTTTCACCATGTTATTTTTGATTTAGTCTTTAGTTACTAAAATTTCACAATCACAAAATAAGAACATACTAGATGCACTTGCATCCACTTTCGATTTATATAAATCTTCAAGTATTTTAATTTGTTTCTAATATTTTATAATAAAAAAACTACTAAGTAATATTTGAAAAACGTAAACACTTACAGTTATAATATTATTAATAAAATTAATTACTTTATGACGTCAGAATGTTTTAAAAATCCAAACAACTTTTTGAAGGCAAGAACAACACTCTCGATTTATATAAATCTCCAAGTATTTTAATTTGTTTGTAATATTTTATAATAAAAAAAAGATTATGTAATATTGTGAAGACCTAAACACATAGTTCGTAATAAAATCTATAATATTATTATTAAAATTAATTACTTTATGACGTCACAATGTTTCAAAAATCCCAAAAACTTTTGCAACGTACATACGTGACGTTTGTGTTACGTAATTTAAACGTTAAAAGTTAAACATTGATTTTTTCACAAATACTATTACTTTATTTGGTATTTAATTACTAAAAATTCACAATCACAAAATAAGCACATACTATTTGCATATATCCACTATCCCTCCTTTTTCCCATTAAATTTAACTTTGTGTAAAAACTTCAAATCCTGTCGAGTCGCTGCAAATTCCAAAAACTGTTCAAAAGTAACAAACTGTCTATCATTTACATCCATCTGTTTAAAAACTTCTTCAGCTTCGTTTTTGGTCCAGGCCAAAGTTTTTTCGGCGACATCACAAAAATCGTGTACGCACATTCTGCCTATTTTCGAACCATCGAACATTCTGAAAGCTTTTTTAAGGTACTCAGGCGGCCCTATGCAAGGGTAACTAAAAATTCACAATCTTAACACATACTAGACGCATTATAAAAAATAAATGAAATAAAATGAATAAATCCCTCAATTACTCTTTTTCCCATTAAATTTAACTTTGTGTAAAAACTTCAAGTCCTGTCGAGTCGCTGCAAATTCCAAAAACTGTTCAAAAGTAACAAACTGTCTATCATTTACATCCATCTGTTTAAAAACTTCTTCAGCTTCGTTTTTGGTCCAGGCCAAAGTTTTTTCGGCGACATCACAAAAATCGTGTACGCACATTCTGCCTATTTTCGAACCATCGAACATTCTGAAAGCTTTTTTAAGGTACTCAGGCGGCCCTATGCAAGGGTAACTAAAAATTCACAATCTTAACACATACTAGACGCATTATAAAAAATAAATGAAATAAAATAAATAAATCCCTCAATTACTCTTTTGCCCATTAAATTTAACTTTGTGTAAAAACTTCAAGTCCTGTCGAGTCGCTGCAAATTCCAAAAACTGTTCAAAAGTAACAAACTGTCTATCATTTACATCCATCTGTTTAAAAACTTCCTCAGCTTCAATTCTAGTCCAGGCCAAAGTTTTTTCGGCGGCATCACAAAAATCGTGAACGCACATTCTGCCTATTTTCGAACCATCGAACATTCTGAACGCCTTTTTAAGATACTCCAGCGGCCCTATGCAGGGCTTCATCGAAAATAGGGCACATAGGAGATAGTCTCGTAAATCTATACGACCTGTGTTAAAAGGATCGAAGATTGTGAAAATTTTTGACAAACTTGGGGTAATAGATACATGAAGTAGGTTTGCTAGTTGCGATAAAGTTATTTTTGTGCTTAAATTGGCACTTAGAATCAAGTCTTCCTCGGTGTTCATTTTGTGTAAGCCCAATTCCTTTCGGAGTTTGTCGAACTCAACAATGCAACCCTGGCGTGGTAAATTAAATTTCTTAGCACGTTTCATGAATTTACAATCGGCATAAGTGTAATCTGATACAGGTACTTCTAAAGCATCAGCCATGTACTGTCTAACATTAGCAGCATATAGTTTAGGATCATTTTTTTCACTTTCATTAGGATAATACACAGGCAAGAATTCGATTTCGCACCTACTGTGCACTTGGGTTAAAGTCATCCAGATGATTTTTAGGGCTCCTGGGCCGTCCCAAGTCCACGTGACTGTGTCAGGATCATTAGGATAACGTATGCACACAGGTTGAACAGGTACACCAGGTGTAAATGCACCTGGTTTAAAGGTTATTAGACACGAACGGTTCGTGCAAGTACCTTCAGGGAAAACTAAAAGTTGCGGCCAATCTAAGGGCGAAGACGCCCTATCTATGATTTCCTTGATAGTCGTGTGCCTAGACTGAGGGTCATCCCTTCGTACATAAACAGGCTGTGTGTAATTAATAAGTTTTCCTACATAAAAATCATCGTTGCTCTCCAAACGTACAACAATCGAAGCCATATTGGTTACGTAAACAATAACACTATCCAAAAAAGACGAGTGCGGTGCCACGACCAAAATAGGAGCTTCCTTCCTCGAAGCCCTTTTACCTTTAACAGTTATCGCCATACCACCTGCCAAATATGATAAACGACCTATAAGACACAAATAGGGCTTCAATTTACGTCTCCAGCCCTTCAAAGGAGCCCTACGCAAATCCTCTTGTGTCACACCGTACAAACCGATACAAGCCAACATCCACAAAAGGATTAATAAAATAGATATAACTATTATCCTGAAGGGCATCAGCATGACTGTAAAAACTGCTGTACGGATTTTATCAAAATAATTTTCGAGTTCTAGTTTGTGAACAAAAGGATTCACTATTTGATTCGTGTCGTTGTTGTTGTAGTTTATGGCTTTGTTTATAGATGGCGCGCGGGGCGTCGGTGACGTCATTTTGAAGAAAGGGCTGTTGCAGCGTTTTAATTTGAAAAACTCCATAAATGTAATTAAACACTTAAATCACACTTAATCCTTTAAGAATCAGAATCCTTTTCTTTTACACAATATTTTTATTTTTTGCACTCCGTTTACATCAGCAGACAACAGTCGTCTGTCACTTTGATTTTTAATTTGAATAAGAAATCTAGAAATTTAAGTAGACAATTTGCACTGAATCCTTTCCTTTCAGAATCCTTTAAAAATTTTGTACACAATTACACAATTTGCACTTAATCCTTTCCTCTCAGAATCCTTTCCTTTAAGAATTTTCCTTATATTTTTATTTTTTTCACTCCGTTTACATCAGCTGACAACAGTCGTCTGTCCGAACACTTTTGATTTTTAATTTGAATAAGAAATCTGCCACTTTCTCTAATAACACTTTGCCGAAACACGAATGGCCATTTCACTTTTTAAAAAAAACATACACAATGTTTTTATAAATAAATAATATATATATAGATAATAGGGAACTTTCTAATTTTGATAATAGTAATTAATAAATTTGATAAATAATTTTTGCACAAATATTATTTTTGAAATTCAGATTTTTCACTGTAACTCCTGAATTGTTCTTTATTTGATTTAATAAAAAATTGCAAAACTTATTATAAAAAGTTTTGTTTTTGGAGCATTCAAAGTTCAAGTTTTTAAACTATAAGTCTGATTTACACACTTCCTTCAATTTTTTTAAAGTATTTTTTGTATTTTTTTTAATAACAATAATATTTATATAATATAAATTATATTATTGTTTAAATATTAACTAAACAATGACGTCACACAGTTTTAAAAATCCAAAAAATTTGTTGAAGTCAAGAACAATACTTCTTGAATTATATGAACTTTTAAATATTTTAGTCAGTTTTTAATATAGTTTGTTTGAAAAATAATACTTTTAAAGACGTACACGTTTAGTTTGCACTATAAACTATAAAATTACTTAAATATTGACAAGTTTTTGACATAAAAATGTTTTAAAAATCCAAAACACTTGAGGAAATCAAGAACAACACTTTTGTGTTATATGAACTTTTAAATATTATCCTTGGGTTTTTTCTATGTTTTATTTGAATTTAAGTTTTTT